AGGAAAGACTCGCTGGAAAGAACCGTGCAGGGACGCGGGATGGGGAAAGCCAGGAAACCCAAACCCCGGGCAGAGGCGCCTACCTTACCTCGTCCTGGCAGGGCAAAAACACTTGTGACGTGTTAACGCTGCATCCTTGGGACACCTGTGTGCGAAACGTGCCAGGTTTAAGGAGTGCCTTGGGAGGCTCGAGTTTTGGACCAATTTATTGGATTAACAGAGGTCAGAGAACGAGCCGGAGGAGTAGGAAGTTTAAACCATAATTGGAAGAGAAATTATGGCTCACATTGTCGAGTGCTGTGTGTTTTTGCAACTTCTTGGCATGGTCTTTGCCTTTTGCTAATCCCCTTCTAATATTCTATTATTGTCTCTACATCATTGAAGGGAAGAAGGATCCTTCTTTCTCTCCTGCTAATTTTTAAACCTGCTTTGCAAAATCTCAGAGCCCCAGGCTTCCCTCCCCTCACAGTTCTGTATGCTCAGCGTGACAGAAATCACGAGCCGGAGGAGTAGGAAGTTTAAACCATAATTGGAAGAGAAATTATGGCTCACATTGTCGAGTGCTGTGTGTTTTTGCAACTTCTTGGCATGGTCTTTGCCTTTTGCTAATCCCCTTCTAATATTCTATTATTGTCTCGACATCATTGAGGGGAAAAAGGATCCTTCTTTCTCTCCCACTGATTTTGTTTCACCTGCTTTGCAAAACCACAAAGCCTCAGGCTTCCCTCCCCTCAGATGCTTGAGGGGGCACCAGTTAAACTGCCCTCAGGAGCATGTAAGATTTTAACAGGAGCTGTTTGATGGAGCTGGACTCGCAGCTACTCCCTTTTTGCAAGAGGAAAACACATCGCCCACTTCATCTGCTAGAGGAGAGCGCATGGTTTATTTTGCTGTCTCTCTCGTCTTCAATATTTGCGTGTTGTGGAAGGGAGGACCCCCACACCCAGCGCTTGCAGCCGGGTTTTGCAGTGAGAGAACAAGAATGGCCGGAGCCCGGGGGGACCCGGAGCTGCCTGTCGCGGCTCCCTCCTCCAGGTCCCTGTCCGGGGCTGCCGC